TGTTCTGTTAAATTTTGCTGTTTTGACTGGGGTGTAAGTCCAGGTTTTAACCCACAAGACCCAAGGCACAATTCATCAATTAATCCAGGCTCCAGTTTCAGTTCACCGGTCAGCTTTTCCTTCCATCATCCAACAAGAACAATAAAACTCTTAATTGTGGCCTTTATCTCAGGGCTCCTCTGGTTACACCTTGACACAGTTTCTCACAACAATGCCACACTCTCTTCACCAGGGTCTCACTCTCACCAGGTTCTTACTGTCATCAGGGTCTCACTTTAGGCTCTTTCATGTCTTACTGCTCATTGTGGTAGGTACTATCTCTCTTATCCTAGTCTCACAGTTATTGATGATTTGCAAGATCATGTGCCTGCAGTTTAGATATCTGGATACAAGAGAGGGCAATATAATAGCTAGAAAAGTCAGCGTTTAAGCTAACACCACAAAAGGGCATTACAAAACTTAAGCTCTTTCATAGCAATAAAGCTGGATAACTGGTAGTCCAAAATCCATTGTAGGTGAAATTTCTTTTTCTTAGTCTGAGACTTATTTCAGCTTCATGATGGATAGTTTTACAAAACTAGGATAGGTAAGAGTAGGGTAATTGTGTTATGGATCAACTTGGCTGTACATGGTTCTCTGCTTTGGAAGTTATGATATAGTCATTCTCTTAATGAAGTCTGATGTAATTTTTTTTTAGCATATCTTCTATATGTAGCCAGTTTGTTGAAGGGCATTTCACTGGGGGTAAATAATTAAATTTTCCCCTCACTGACTTGTAATACAATGTTGACAACTTTAATATTTCATAAAAACCTTCGCAAGAGTTGTTTTTATTTGTTAAAGATTGTAATGCACAAGTTCTCTTTGCTATATTAAAAATTGCATTAGACATATCACCACGATAAAAAAGTACCACTATTTTAAAATTAAGTTGGACAATGATTATAGATGACAGAAGAATTGATGTCATTGAGTTGTAGTCCTGGAGAAGAGTATCAAAAATACCATGGCCTGTTAAAAGAATGAACAGATTAATCCTTGAGAGGGTAAAACAATGAGGTTGTTTGGAGGCAAAGATTTTTAAGCTCCATTCCATATATTTTGGGCGTACAGACAGGAAGAATGAATCCCTGAAGGAGGACATCATGTTTGGAAGGGTAAAGGGAGAGTGCAGGAGAGGAAGACCCCAGAGGAGATGGATTGATACAGTAACTGGGATAATAGGGGTAGGTGTATCTAGGACGGTGAGACTGGCTCAGGATATAACAGAGTTCAGAGCTATGTTATGAGTTACAGGTGACTCAAAGGCACAGAATAACAATAACATGCCCATCTAGCATAGAAAACTAACACATAATTACATAATTTTATCATTTCAGTTATTAACTTGAGCACATTTTTATGTTTTGTTATGTGCCAGTGAGTCTACTCTGACTCATAACCATTTTATCACTAACAGTTTTAAACCCTGTCCTACCCTGTGCCATCTTTACTGTCTCTAACATACTTGAGCCCATTTGCACAGACATAATATCAATTCATTTTTTTTTTAGGATCTTCCTTTCTTACACTGACCTTCTTCTACCTTTCCAAACATGATGTCCTTCTTCAAGGATTGATCTCTCCTGATAACACTGAAGTGTATGAGACAAAATTTCATTATACTTACTTTCAAGGAGCAACCTGATTTCACTTCCTTCAAGCCAGACTTGTTTGTTCTCTTGGCAGTACATGTGGTAGTCAACACTGTTCTCCAGTACCACAACTCAAAGGCATTAATTTTCCTTTGATCATCCTTAGTCATTGTCCAATTTAAGGAGGCATAACAGGTACTTGAGAAAACCATGTCTTAGATCAGGCACACTTTAATCTTTATACTGGCAGTATTTCCCTTTATCACTCTGGAGTGATAACTGACTGAAGATTTTCCCAATGTGAATCATCTTTTGATATTTTGACTGCCGATATCAAGGATGTTAATTAACTATGCAAATAAGATTAAATAATTGACATTATCAATCTTTTCTCCACCTATAACAATGTTGTGTACAGGCCAAGTGGTGAGAAATTTTGTTTTCTTGATGTTGAGATGTAATCCATCTTGAAGACTGTCTTTGTGCTACTTGTCATCTTCACTTTCCGTGAATAAGGTATGTCATCTCCTTATCAGTAATTTTAACTTTAAAAAAGCATATTGTATGTTTATAGTGCCTTTGTCAGTATTCAAATGTTTTGTTTGATGTCACTGAATTGTTTTCAATTCATAGTGACCTTGTTGCTGTTAGGTGTCATCAAGTCACCTGTGACTTATAGGGACTCTACATACTAACAGCTCTGAACCCTGCTCTATCTTGAGCCAATTTCATTGTTGCTGACCTGTCTACCCTCATTAACCCAGTCACTGAGTCAATTCATCTCATCCAGGTTCTTCATCTCTTGCACTGTCCCTCAACTTTTCTATGCTTGATGTCCTTCTCCAAGGATATCCTTGCAACACACCCAAAGTAAGTCAGATGAAGCTTCAAAATCCTTGCCTTTAAGGAGCAGCCTGGTTTCATCCCCTCTGGGACAAACCTGTTTATTTTCCTAGCAGTCCATGTTGTATTCAATACTCTTCTCCAGCACCGTAATTTAAAGGCATAAATTCTTCTATTATCCTTAGTCATTGTGCAGCTTTCTGATGCATAGCAAATAACTGCAAACATCATAGCTTGGATCAGGCACACCTTACTCTCTAGATTGACATCATTGCTTTTCAGTATTCTGGAGAGGTCCCTAGCAATGGATTGTCCCAATCCAATTCCTCTTTTGATTTCCTGGCTGCTGGTACCCAAACTGTTGATTGTGGAGCCAACCAAGCTGAAGCCATTAACAGTCACAATCTCTTCTCCATCTATCATGATTCTCCCAATTGGCCCAGTGGTAAGAATCTTAGTCTTCTTGATGTTAACTTTCAATCCATATTGTAGACTATAATCCTTAACCTTCTGAAGCGAATATCACAGATCCTCCTCAGTTTCAGCAAGAAAGGTTTTGTCATTTCAATAACACAGGTTGTTGATGATTCTTCCCCCAATTCTAATGCCACATTTTCCTCATAGAGCCCAGCCTCCCAAATGATCTTTTCCACATACACATTGAAAAAGTATGGAGATAGCACGCATCCCTGGCGAAGACCTTTCCTGATTTTGAACCATGCAGTGTTTTCTTGTTCTGTTCGGATGACTGTCTCCTGGTCTAAGTATAGGCTTCACATAAGTACAATCAAGTATTACGGGATTCCCATTCTTCTCAGAATTAGGATAATGACCTTATGAAAATAAAATTAAATACTGCTCAGTTTTGCTATATTTGATTCATTGTTGTAGTCACTGTGCCACTCCATCTTATAAAGGGTCTTCCTCTTATTCATTGATCCTCTAATTTTTAAGAATGATACTCTCCCTCAGGGACTCATTCCTCTTGATATCATCTCAAAAGTACAGGAGATGGAGTCTCACCATTCTCCCTTCTGAGGAACATTCTGGCTATACCTTTTTCAAGACAAATATGTGTCTCACCATTCTCCCTTCTGAGGAACATTCTGGCTATACCTTTTTCAAGACAAATATGTTCCTTCTCCTTTAAGTCCATATTCTAGCAGTTCAATGTTCTATGCATGTAAAATGTGGACAATGAACAAAGAAGACTGAGCATCTTTTTCTCACATCACATCTAAGACATCACTTTCTGAGTGTTTTCTCTAACTCACTGAATACCTTCCCAATATCCCTGGCATATGAGTCCTCTTTTCCTCACCTGTAAATGTCAAAGAGCTCTTAAACAAAAAACAAGTCTTTCGTTCCCACTGAGTCAACTTCAACTCAGAAAAAGCACACATATTGGGCCAATAGGTGGGTTTGAATCATCCACCTTTGTGTTAGTACTAGAGCCCAAGTGCAACCTGTTTGCATTGTCCAGAGTTATTATAAAGACTTAGGCTCTCTGCTTTTTATCTACAGCCCCAATATCTCCCTAAAATTTCAAACCACAAACTCTGAAGATTTCAGATTCAACCTGATTTCCTCTTCTCCCCCTGATATGAACCCATTCGCCTTTCCCTCTCAGTCAGCAGTGCTACAATTTGTTCATGGGATCATCTTCAAATCCAGGATTCCAGCAAAGACTTTGAGCTCTGCCTTTAATATAACCATTAATCTGGATAATGTCTCACCTTCAAAGTCGTGTATGTTTTCTTTCTTTAGCCCACTCCTGGATTTCACCCTCACCAAATATAAGGTAAAAAATAAGGCATGCCAGGCAAACAGCTGTCATGAGGAAGAAGACTTCAAACCAGGGAGATTCTGGATCCTATGTGATTAAAATAAAAAATAATTATAATTGGTAATTCTTGGGCTTGTTTTATGTAACATTTAAAATGTAACATTAAAAGTAACATGAACTCAAGGTAGGTCACTTAGCTAGCACAGAAAAACATGTTTATAAATAACAACCAAAGAAATAAGAGTTTTGTTAAACAGAAATAATCACATTTTTAATTTTGTCAATCACTTACCTATGTCTATGTCCACTTGATTTTTAAATATAGGAAAAGACAAGTTCATAGTACTGATTTTAAGAATATATAAAATTTTTCATTGATAAATGTCAGTCTTATTAAACAGAATTTATTAAGTATTTTTATAAAAATGATTAACATTTTCTTTTTCATTTTACCAGCTGTAACCTTTACTTAACTGGACTGTTCATCTTTCTTCTGAGGAACAGATGATGAGTGTGTGCTACTTGCATTTTGGTTCAGTTGAAACTTTCATTACTCTATCGTTAAATTTCCTTCAAAATGTGTGACAATTTTTCATTAATTGAATTAATTGTGCCACGAAATAGAATTATACAAAATCTATAATCACTTTTGAGTAATGTAATATCTTCCTATCTTAAGAAGTATAACCTAAACGTGGTGCTAAGCCATAGTTTTTTCATATGGTTCTAGCATGCTTTTAGATTTTGGGTTTTTTTCCATAAGCCTTTATAATATTGATTGTTGCTATGTATCAGAATTTGCTTTATTATGTTATCTCCCTTCAATTAATTCCTCCCCTCAACCCTTTTTCTAAACTATTTGAGTTCATTAGCATCTCCAGGCTGCTAAACAATGGCATTGACAGCAAATATCCTGATAGTTGCCTTGATTTTAAAAAAAGGTGCTGAGGCTTTTTCAATCCTCTGCAGCTTCCACTGCCTTAGACTGCCCTTCAGCCAGCAGCTTCAGCACCACCTCAGGAAGCTGCCTGAGCAAGGTGGAGGTGGCAGAGACAAGTAAGACTGATTTCCCACATTCCTGCTGCACCATCTACATGAGGCAGGTCGCCCATTTCCACTTTGATGTGTGTTGAGATTATTTCCATTGTTACATCAAGGGTGAAAGCCTGCTACTCAGTTGGATTTGAAAATGCTGGAGAATCAGCCTTAGTGAGAAGCTGGAAATAAGTTAAAATTCTATCTCTTTGTTTTTCTTTTTACTTAATATTGGAAAAGCATTGAGAAACCATGCATAGAGTTAGTAATCAAGAGTTTGACTGCCATTTTCTTAATGAAGGTTTCATTGCCAAGGATATTCTGGACCAAAAAAAGAAGAATTAGGTTTCCTCTTCTGATGATAAAGATGCCTTTTATGTTGCAGACCTTGGACATATCCTAAAGAAGCATCCAAGACAGCTAAATGTATTTATTGCAGAGCCATAGTGAAGACCCTCGCTACCACAGGGAAAGGATCTGACTGGGATAGTTCTTACCTTAAAGTGGGAAGTATCAGGAGAATTTTGAATGTGTGGATTACAATAAACTATGTCTAACTCTGAGAAGAATGGGAATCCCTGAATACTTAATTGTACATATGTGAAACCTATGCTTGACCAGAAGGAAGTCATCAGAAGAGAACAAGGAAACTTTGCATGGTTCAAAATCAGGAAAAAGTGTATGCCAGGGATGCATCCTATCTCTATACCTTTTCAAACTATATGTGGAATAGATCATTCAGGAGGCTGGACTTTATGAGGAGAATAGGGAATTATAATTGGAAGGAAACTCATCAGTAACCTGCAGTTTGTTCCTGAAACTGAGGAGGACCTGAGGCATTTGCTGCAGAAGGTCAAGAAAGTAGTCTTCAATATGGATTGCAACTTAACATCAAGAAGATAAAAATTCTCATCACTGGGCCAATTGGCAGCACCATGATGGATGGCAAAGAGATTGACATTGTTAGCAGCTTCAGCTTACTTGGCTCCACAATCAACACTTTTGGTATCAGCAGTCAGGAAATCAAAAGACAAATTGCATTGGGAAAATCAGGGACCTCTCCAGTGTACTGAGAACCATGACATCAGTTTAGAGACTAAGGTGTGCTTGATCCAGACCATGGTTCTCAATTAGAAGCTATGTAATTTGCAATTGCATGATATGCATCAGAGATCAGGACAATGATTAAGGATGATAGAAAAAGAATTTATTCCCTTCAGTTCTGGTGTTGGAAAAGAGTATTGAACATATATATCATTGACTGCCAGCAGAAAAAATAATTCTGTCTTGGAGAGGGTAAAACCAAGTTTCTCCTTGGAGGCAAGGATTTCAAAACTCTGTCTAACATAGTTTGGGCATGTGGCCAGGAGTTACCAGTCATTGGAGAAGAACATCATGCTTGGACAGGTGGAGGGACAGCACAGGAAAGGAAAATCCCAGAAGAGGACTGACACAATAACTGGGCCAAAAGGATTATGTGGGAGTCAGTGAGATTGGCTCAGGATAAGGCAAGGTTGAGGGCTATATTGTACATAGTGTCACTATGAGTTGCAGGCAAATCGATAACACATAACAATAATAACAGTAAGATGAAATATAGTTGGTATAGAGTGTTGGTGTGCCTCCAGAGAGGAAAATTTATGTAAATCCCTTTAAACAAGTATCTCAGATTAAGTATGCTGCCAAGAGTTGAGTTCAGGTGGTAAAATAGAGTTGATCAAAGTTTCCAGGGCACATCCAAAGGCAAAATTGGTTTTTCAGATTGGCACTGATGATTCAAAAGCAGTCTATCACCTTAGTGTTAAATTTGGTGCCACACTAAAAACCAGCAGCCTTCTTTTAGAATGGGTAAAGAACTTAATATCAGTGTCATTGGTGTCAGCTTACATTTGAGAAGTGGTTGTACTGACCCAGAGATCTTTGTGCAAGCCAATTTCTGATGCTCAATGTGTCTTTGACAGTGGAGCTGAGGTTGATTTTAGTATGTTATCTATGTTTCTGCTTGATATTGGTGGTAGCTTTCCTGGCTCTGAGGAGGTAAAGTTTAAATTTAAAGAGATCATTAATCAATCTAGCATTGAACAAGAATTTTTCCATCAAACTCACGTGAAAATAATAACTTATCCAGGCTGATATTATATTGCATCAGTTTTCACCCTTGCTTTTAATATCTTTGTATTGAAGAAATGGATAGGTTCTGATGATGATGAGTCAAGTGAACAAATCTTTATGTATGGTGTGAATGATGGAGTATATGGCCCCTTTAATTGCATCCTTTATGATCATGCACATATAAAGCCTATGCTGCAAAAGAGACCCATTCCAAATGAGAATAATTATTTATATAGCACACAGAGACCAATGTGTAATGGCCTGGATCGGATTATTAAGCACTATAACCCGTCAGAAGTGCATGTGGGTGATTGGATGTTGTTTGAAAACAAGAGTGCTTACACTGTTGCTGCTGCATCAGTGGGTTTACAGAGACCAACTATCTACTATATGATGTCTGAGCCAACATGGCAACTCATGCAGCAGATCAGGAGCCATGAGTACTCACTAGAAGTAGAGGTGCGGGTGTTAGCACTGTGTCCTTATCTTGTACTTGGGAAAGTAAAATGAAATGACACCCAGCAACTTATGCTTCAGCTGGTATTAATGTGTAGATACCATTTTGGTAGTAGTTAATTCCAAGTTTAGCTTGAATTAAGGGTTGTAGGGGAGCCATTTAACTTAATTATTCCTGTTCTGAAATTTTTTTACATGAGTAGGTAGGATGAAACAGATGCAACAGTGTAGAAGACTAGAGGTCACACTTGGCTGTGTTTCTATGGAAACTCTTAAATATTTTTACATACATTTTTATTCTTTTTTTTTCACACATGCTATTAAAGAATGTATTCAGCTCCTAAACAAGCATTTGTACCTTCTCCAGGGGCAAAATGGGACAAAAGTTTAGTGTTGTGACCTGTTATAAAGTATATTGAAATTAAAAATAGACATGCTGAATAATACTAATAGATGCCATTTATTAAAGATATGTCTTTAAAAATTGTATGTATAATCATAATTTTTGTAACAACATTAAGGATTATCTTCTATAATTAAAAAAGAAAAATGCATGTATAGCCTCCTAGGAGCGTCTTCCAGCCACTGTCTACCCATCATCTGCTAAGGCTGTAGCTCAGCCCAGGCACGTTCACCTCCTGGCCAGGAACAGAACCACTGCCTGTCATATTGAGGGGCTGCAGTCTTAGATCACAATCCCACCCACAGCACTAGCCCCTTTGCCTGGAGGCCACCCAGCTGCTGTCCCTTCTATCCAGTGTCAGAAGCACCAATATCTCAGGTACTTTGGTCTTGAACAGTGCTGTCTAGCTATATCATATGGGATTTCTTAAGCTCAAGTTGAAGAGACCGGATGGAGCCACAGTTTCAGGAGGGCAACAGGAATCTCAATTCATGTGAACTGTTGTTCCCCAGAGAGGAGTACTGATATACACATCCTTCACAAAACATTGCCAAACCCTGGGTCATTATATAATTACAACAACCTAACATCTACTAAGAAAAGACTCACATAATGTTAAGAAAACTGCTGTCTGCCTCAATCATCATGAATACACACACACACACAAACACACACATTCCTTCTCCAAAAAAGCAGACCCAATGAATACCCAAGATAGAGAGAACCAGGAAAAAAAATGTTGATATGGAGTTATTTGAAGATGCAAATGAAAAGAGAGCAAATACTCAAGAGACAGCAATACAGAAAAAAACTATATTGATGAGGAGTAAATTGAACAGTTACAGAAGAAAATGCAAAAAATCTAAGAAAGAATTGATAGTATGTTGTTGTTGTTGTTGTTGTTGTTGT